TCCTCCTCCTCCTCCTTCGCCGCCTCCTGCTCCTCCGCCTTCTTTTGAATTTTTGCCGATTTCTGTAAGCGTCCATTTTTGAATAGGTTTGGAAACCACCGAGGGGTACGATTCCACATAATTCATCCGACGGAAACGTGGCGATGGCACCTGATTCGGGGCGCAGTGTGGGGGGGGGGGGTGAGGATTTGGTTCTGAAGAAGGTGGGGCAGTACCGAGGGGGATGGGGGAGGGTCACCGTTTGGGCGAGCGAAGGCTGTGGCGCCCACGGCGGCACCCTTGTACGAGGCTGTGAGGGGAGCGGCGGCCAGAGGGGGGGCGACGGCGACCCAGGCGAGCCGCGCGCGCGCGCGACTGAAGGAAGCGCGGGCGGCGGGAAAAAGGAGAACGGCGGCGGCGGCGAGGCGCAAAACGGGGGCGGCGGAAGTGGGGGCGACCGCGGCGGCGGAATGAATGGCGGCGCGCGCACGGACGGCGACGAAATCGACGGCGGGGAGGGGCGGGGCTGCATGGCGGCGGCGGACGCGCGCACATTTGTCGTGCTTGCGCATTGGCACCCGACGTCCTCTGCGTGCGCGCGGGAACGGCAGGGGTCATTTCGCGCGCACCGGGCGGCGCCGTGCTCGCAGGTCGCAGCAGCCGGGATCGCGGCAGAGTATGGTGGAGAGCTCTACCCGCGCACCTGCCCAGCGATGAGGTCGACGCCGCTCCTGGCAGGCGAGGCAGGGATCTCGGCGACGTTGGAGAGCGGGCGCACGATGTCGTGGGCGACGCCCGTCCGCAGCCACGTCGTGGTGACGACGATGGCGAGGAGCATCACGGTGGAGAGGAGCGTCCCGGCGCTGCTTGGGCTCGCTCGAGTTTCCGGTATAGGCATGGGCATGGGCACGGCATGGGTTTTTTTGTTGTATCAGGGCTTGAAGGTGGACCTCCAAGATTTTTTTTTTATTGTTGCATGCTCGGCGCGGCGTCGAGGTCGAGACGCCCAAGGTGGTCGCGCACTTCGCTCGCTGGGGCATGGAGATCCACGTCGGCAAGGACGGCTCCAACGGCGAGCCTCGCAAGGACTCGAAGTCGGAGGTGCTCTTCTGCGCGGCGGCGCCGACCTCGTACAACGACCCCGCCACCTACGATGGCGCCGACCTGTCCGACATCAAGCTGCCCGGCGGCTGCTTCATGCCGGTCGTGGACCGCTTCAAATATCTTGGGAGCTACCTCAACCGCGACTGCAGCGACAGGCTCGACGTCGACAGCCGGATCGAGTCAGCGGGCCGAGCTTTTGGCGCTCTTCGGAAGTGCCTTTTCAGCTCGAGGGATGTCTCGTTTGCCGCCAAGCGCGCGGTCTACACCTCGCTCATCCTCTCCATCCTGCTCTACGGGTGCGAGTGCTGGGCGCTCACCGAGCGCCTCCTCCACCGTCTCCGCGTCTTCCACGCACAGTGCGTGCGTGCAATGTGTCGTGTCACTCGCAAGCACGTGTGGGAGCACCACATCACGACTGGCGAGCTCTGCGCCAGGCTAGGTCTCGACTTCATCGACTACTACATCGACCGACGCCGGCTGGGCTGGCTCGGGCATGTCAGCAGGATGGATTTCGAGCGCCTACCTCGTCGCATGCTCTCATCGTGGGTGCCTCACGGCCGGCCGATCGGGTGCCCCAACGTGACGTTTGGGCGCAGCATCCGCACCGCGCTCGACAAGTTCCACATCGACCGCTCGAGGTGGCCCGAGCTCGCCGCCGATCGCTCGGCCTGGCGCCAGACGCTGGAGAACAAGCGCCCGCCCGACGCCTTCTTTGCCATGCCGGCGAGGGCCAGGCCCCCCTCCCCGCGCATTGCGCGCACTAAACCAGTGCGCGCATGCGCGGCGAGAACCAATGCAGCGATGGACATCTCGCTGCAGGCGCTCGCGGGGCCGTGAGTGGGGGTCCCCACTGCTGCCCCTCTGACTATTCTTTTGTCTGTGGTGATGCCTTTCCCTGAGAACGCACACAACGCCTCGTGTGTAATGCCATGTGTTCCACGAGTGCGTGTGCCCCGTCGTCCATGCTAGGACGTGTGTAACACTGACTGACTGTTGCATGCAGGGAATGCACGAGCCGAGCCGCCAGCCATACAGCCACAGGGCCGGCGCGACACCGATGGGGTCGTTTTGGGGGCATGGTGCCACGCATGGGCTGGTTTGTGAGTTGTTTGGTCGGCGGCCGACTACAGTGCTTCCCTCTCACCGGGCCCACCACGCAGACGCTGGACCCACGACGCCGCCGCCGGAGTCTTCCCCAGAGTCGGTCGCCGACTCCGCCGCCGCTGACGCCGCGCCCGTCACCTTCGGCGCGACCGGCTTTGGCATGCCTCCACCTGCTCCGGGGCGTGCCGCCGCCTCCTCTTTTCTCATCGCCTCCTGCTGCTGCGCCGCCATCGCCTCCTGCTGCTGCGCCGCCATCGCCTCCTGCTGCTGCGCCGCCATCGCCTCCTGCTGCTGCGCCGCCATCGCCTCCGCCTCGGCCACGCTAGACGCGAACCTCACCTCGAGCGGCGCGACCGGGACGCCGTCCTCCGGCAGCCGCACCTATTCAAGGCGACGCGTAGCTTAGAGGCAAGGGCCAGCTTGCCTCACCCCGCCGGGCCGGGGCGGCGCCGAGAAGCCGGCGCGGCCGTCGCTCTCGGGCTGGTCGGGGTCAAAGCCGGCGAGCGTTGCGCCTGCGTCTGCGTCCTCTCGCATCGCACGCGAAAGCCTTGCCCCCTCCAGCGACTCTAGCGCCTGCACCTTGCGCGCCACGGAGACCTCCGAGTCGGCCGGCGCGGCCCAGAGCTGGAGCGGCCTGCTCAACCGGTGCATCTGCTCCAGCTCCGGATGGAGGAGCCGCGCGTGCTCCAAGATAGCGCGCTTCTGCAAGAGCACGGCCGACGCCGCGTCGCACCGCCCGGCGGCGCCCACCGCCTTGCCCGCAAAGAAGAAGCGCGAGCCGCCGTCTGCCCGCACGTACACATCGCGGCTGCACTCCCTGCGGGGGCGGTGGAGGCACTCCCTGAGGAGAGAGACACGCGCGGTTGGGGCTGAGGTACGGAGGGACCTCTGCGGGTCGAGCCGCCACAGATCCTGGTGAGCTCGCATCGCGACCAGCATGGCCTTTTTGAGGTCAAACGCGGCGGGCTTGGCGGGCTTGCGCTTCCCGGCGGCGGCCTTGCGCTTGGCGGCCTTGGCCACGACGGCGGACGCACGCGCGGACGCAGGCAAAAGTCCGGCGAAGGGAGCGGCGTGTGGCACGAAGGCGGGCACGAAGGCGGGATCGAAGGCGGGCACGAAGGCGGGTAGCAACGCGACAAAGGCCATATACTGTCCCGTTTTGCTGTTCACAGCTAGGGACGGCCTCTGCGGCAAAGTCAGATCACCCCACCTACCTCCACCTCCCACCTACCACACCAAACCTTCGGCTCCCGCTCAGAGGCTCGCCGCGCCCGTGCGGCGCGCCGAGGCGGCGCCGAGGTCGGCGCCTTGCACCCGGTCCGCGGCCGGCACCGGCTCGCCCCACAACTGACCGCCCTGCGGCCCCTGCGCAGGCGTACCAC